GGGGGGGGGGGAGAGTAAACATATATAAACTTTTATATATAGTTAATAAGTATCATAGTTGGTATCATATTTTCTTCAGAGTTCGTCATCGCCTGACATCAAGACCGAGTTCTTCGAATTGTTGCATCAGTTACTTCTTCATAACTGGCGGTATTTCTTTCGTTCCTCTTTACTCGCTCAAATGTCTGGACACGAGAATGTTGAAAACCAACCACAGTTTATTTCGATGTTACAGGTGGGTACTTCATGTGTTGTCATTTGGTTTTGCTGCTGTTGTTTTTAATATAAGATAAGATTTTTGTTTTCAAAACGTTCTTCTATAGGCTTTTGGACAGTCGTTTCTTCAGCCGGATATCGCAATCTTCAAACAAAACCTGGAAATACTCGAAAATTTAAATTCAAAATGTAAACTTTATCAGAAGGTAAGAAGACAGTAATGAATGGTATCTATTTTAATAGACCTTTACTGAGATAGCGAACATGGTGCATTGTGGTCTAGCATCGGTAGAAACACCCTGCCGTTCTCTATCTTGGTCATCATGCCTTTCTATCAATATGGCGTCATTCGTACCCAAGCTAGACCACAATGCATCGTGCTTATCAAACTCAGGAAAGATCTGTGAGCACTCTGATTGATGACCGGTCATCTCGGGTGTTGTAATTTGCGTGACAGATGTCGTGGTGTACCTTGAACGTGACAATGATAAAACCAGGGACCAGTTGTTCAAAGCCCGATTAGTGCTAATCCCGGGTTAACTCTTAATAAGACCTATAGAGTTAATCCTGGATTAGCGCTAATTCAGCTTTGAACAACCCGGCCCAGCATTCTCATTAGATAAGCAGTAGCATCGCGTGCTGTGATTGGCTCTACAGATGTCATAAATACTGCACGGTAACCTTAACGGCGCGAGTTAACCATTCCAAATAATTTTGTGTTGCATTAAATATTTCTACTACTAATCTGCAAAACAATATATATACTTTTTCTGTTTACAGGATATTTTCCGCGATCATATGCTTCTCCAGTTCATTAACGTTTTATTCCAAGCGTTGGTTTACCGGTCACATGACTTGTTGCAAGAAGAGATAACTATTACTATTTACAATATGGCGTCGGTGGATTTCGACAAGTTTTATTCGTCGTTTTTAACAGAATTTCTCAAAGGATCTGAAGGATTGACGGAAAACCAAAAATCAGAACTGAGCAGTCATTTTAAACTTGATAAGGTAGGTACTAGGGTAGTACATACGGTACAAGAGTGCCGTGTCTTGTCCGGCGCTTCCTTGGCGTCATATCTACAAGCAAAAACCACGCACGCACTCGGATTGGCTCAGCAAAGGTCCTCTATCGAGGGTTTAGGTGTGACGTCAATCGTATGGAAAAAAGAATTCCGGGTCAAAAACGAAAAGCAGTTCTATAAAGATTTTTCTTATTTTTTCTTCGTGACATGAAGTTAAATCAAGGAGAGCATTTTCCGATTTATTTTAGCGTTTTTGTGAGCATTTGGACCCGGAAATATGTCACAACTTAAAAGCCCTATTCTATACCGTCACTGTGCCTTTTATCGCGTATGATTTCCCCACATGCTGTAAGGCTCTGTTACTGATAAGTGTTTAAAATCGTAAAATCTGAAATAACTTATCATTCGTGTCTCTCTCTCCATTTCACAGGACCTACCGTCATTTACCCAGAACATCCATCGATTCGTTGGAGATCTACGGTATTATCGTCTATGTAACAGTAGCCTGCCTCCTGGGACTGTTAAATTCTAGCTATATTATACTATCCGCATGGGGTATTTATCTAGTCTCCTTATTCATGTCGGACGAGAGCCTCTTGGTCCCTATTTCTGGGCGACGCTAACAAATGACAGTTCAGTGTTGAGAAATTTACAAGTCCAGAACTAGATTTAATTGCACGCGCAATTTTAAACGAACATTAACGTTTCTAGAGCCTGCGTTTATTGTGGTCATCAGCGAATAACGTTGGCGCTGACCAGAAAGAAACGCAGGCTCAAGGAATTAAAACGAGGTGGTTGCGCGGTCTTGGTAATATATAGAGCCATATTTTGCGGTTTTGTTGGGTTTTGAATAGCTTTACATGCTAGTGGTTTTTGAGGAGCATAGAGATGTGCGCAGCTTTGTTCTTGTTAGTTGCTCCTCTTCCTTCTTTCCGTCTTCCTTCGTTGTTTACTTCGTTACTTCCTTATGTTTTCTCTCTCTCTCTCTCTCTCTCATCTTTCTTTTTTGCTTTTATTTCTCTTTCTTACTTTTAATATAAGCTTACCAAAATGAAAATCAAAAATATGGGGTTAAAAAAATTTAGCCTTTCAAATGTTGCAATATATCAAATATGAATTGATATTATATTTTTCTGTTCAAATTGATATATTAAGGACACCTTTGTTGACCGAAGTCACTCGAATGAAGTGACGTCAAAGATACAAATTACGTCATAATGATGATATTCACGGAATACCCGAGACCCCGGATGTATGTTGTGGGTCTTGGTGAATAGAGAGTATTTTTATCGTTCTTTTATATTTATAATATGATACAAAATTGTACTCTCCTATTGAAGATTATTATATTAATAAAGTGTTGAAATTAATGCTGAAATATACTGGATATTTTATTCCTAAGATCAGCTTCGGCACTGGAATTTTATGATATTACATCATCATCAATTCTGTATCAATATTTTGAAACCTTTATTGATATAGGATGCCGTAATATTTTACGGAAGGTAGCCTATCGTAGCTTGGCTACGCCTCCCTGCAACCAATCAATAATACATATCTAATACCCGGTGGCAATATTGCTCTCTGAGGATACAAACTATAACAYAAGCCTCTAGTACAAGAATTCTCAACGAAAATACGCTCAGAATCGAAGGTAGGTAGGGTTGTTATTCAAGGTCACTTTGTATTAGAATGTTGAATAAAAAAAAGAACAGAAAATGCGAGAAAAAAAATTTTAACGGGTTCCTGACGCGGAGTCTTTTCCCGATACAGATGACTGAAAGAAAAGCGGTTATCAAGAATGCAGACATGTCGGAAGACATGCAAGCTGATGCTGTCGAGATCGCAACCCAAGCATTAGAGAAACACAACGTTGAGAAGGATATTGCTGCTTTTATCAAGAAAGAATTCGACAAAAAACATAACCCAACATGGCACTGCATTGTCGGGAGAAACTTTGGTTCTTTTGTCACTCACGAGACGCGACATTTTATTTATTTTTATCTTGGTCAAGTTGCCGTGCTTTTATTCAAATCTGGATGAGAACAATACCAATACGGTTTCAAAATTTAGAACATTTCGTGACAATAGTTGCGAACAAGAAACTGCAAAATTGGCTATTTGCGAATAAAACTAATTTAATTAAATTCCAAGCTTCGCTTCTCTTAAAGAAATAACAATTTTCAATTCTTTACTGGGTAATATTTATCTTATTCGGCCAAACTTTTTAGCTCCAAATAAGACTGCTTTTAACATATTTTAAGTTATACTATACTCTATGTTAACGTTGATTCATCTTTTCATTATTTTAGCGGCATTTGCACTGTAAGTCATAAAATTATAAAGAACAAAAATGTAAATAAGTTTAATTTGACTTCAAAATAAATTCTATATGAAACCGCCTATTTCGTATACTTACTTAATAATTGTAGTAATATAACTTTGAAGAATTACTGATTCGTATGCTCAAACTGCCTAAAAAGTTGTCCCGGAAAATTGCTGACTAATATAACTACTCTTGACGACTATGTGATAAATTTTTTAAAATATATTATTGTTTACTAAAGCGCAGCGGTTAGTTATGGCTCAGTTGGTACAATTCTTGTCGACCATATAACTGTTAACAGAAGATGCAGTTGAATAAGTCATTCTGTATGATCACATTTTGTGGAACCGAAGTGGTTTACTYGAAAGGCGGACGTGACTTTTTGCTACTTGCTCAATAAATGTACGTGCCGGCAGTGATTTTTTTTGAAAAGAGACGAAATGTTATGCATATTACGAAATTGAAAAACTTCCGGGAGGAATAAGATTTTAAGGAGTTAAACGAAAAACAAAAAAGCAAATTAAAGTACTAAAGAAGTAAAAAAAAGGAAATGAGAGAAGAGAAGTTGAAGGGAGGAAGGAGAAAAGAAAGACGACAGGCTGCCAAATTAATTTCAATGGACTAGTCGGAGACTATAACAGCCGTAGCGAGTTCACGTCAAGCTTAGAAAAATAGAGAAAAACATTCAAAAATGCATGAAAGAGAGAGAAAAGAAAAAGCAAAATTGCTTCGATTTGAAACACGCGGTCGCTATCCTTGCCCTCCCCTCCCCTCTTGTTTCTCGACGAACAGTGGCGGGAAAATATTAGACGCGTGCGCCTCTTTTGGCGGGAGAAAAGTAACGAAAACAAATTTGGTTGAAAAAGGATTCATTTGACGAAATGATAAAAACGATAAATAAAGAAACGACGAAAAACAAGGAAAAGTTTTATTTACAGGGTATTTTCTTATTTTATACTCTTACTGAACACATGCTTTTCATTTAAGAATATTAATTCTTTGTTGTGTGCAAACTATTTTGTTTAGGAAAGAGAAAAAGTTGATATTAAAACTCAGTATCGGGATAGTTGACCACCATCAAAAGCTTTAAAGAATTAAAATTGTCAGAAGTACAAGCTATTTATAAGGTAAGTCCGTTTAGAATATTGCCAATAATCATTTAAAAGTTTATTTTCTTCTAGGATAAGCTATTTTGGGGGAAAATAATGTTTATGAGCTTTATACTTCAGTATACTACCTAATTCTCACCGGAAAAAAAAAAAATGCTTTTATGATGTGACAATTTAAATTTATCGTAAAATATTAAACATTAAGCTTAAATTGAATAACATTCGTTTTGATTTGAAGTAAAATACAGCTATACGTTTAAAAATATTTTTTAAATGCAGATATTTTGTTCAAGATGATGGAAGAATGTAATGACCAAGTTGTTGATGGACAAGAATTTTGTGATCAGGAAGATGTGAGAAAATAAAACCGATGTTGCTATTCTCTCTTGTTTGGCTTCTCTTTTAAAACTTTCAAAAGAAAAAGAATGTTTACCTAATGAAAGTTTTATTTTTATAGGAATCATTTTATCAAGATATTGAGCTGCTGCAAAACCATGGAATTGTAAGTTTGTGGTTATAATAAAGTTATTAATTAAATAAACTATCTAATTATTGTAAAAATTATAAATTTGTATAGGTAAACTTGAAGATTTGACGTAAACGTTTTCGTTCTTTTGCTCCATAGAACGTTGCTGATATTAAAAAACTTAAGACCGCTGGAATTTGTACTATCAAGGTATAGATGAATACATTTAATTCCAGTCAATATTACAGTTAGTCAGTGGATATTACTCATTGAATATTACTTTTTTACTGGTTGACTAAATTCTTGCTCTAAAAGGGGGTACAAATGACAACGAAGAAGAAGTTATGTCAGATAAAAGGCATTTCTGAAGCAAAAATGGAGAAAATTAAAGTAAGATATGGGAAAGTTAATAACATTTTGACAAGTAACACATGTCTTCACTCATTCATTCTATTCCATTTATACATTCCATTCATACATTCCTCTCATTTTCCTTCCTTAGGAAGCAGCTGGCAAGCTATGTGTAAGTACGATTCATATATTCAAATAATAAAAATAAATTGAATCGATAATAATATTTAATAATTGTCCTTTCAGAACAATGGATTTGTGACAGCACTAGAGTACAGTGATGTGAGAAAAATGGTTTTCAAGGTCTCCACTGGCAGTACAGAATTGGAGTGAGTTAAAAACATAATTCAAAGCAAAAAAAATACAAAACTTTAAAAATGTTGATACTTCCTTTTCTTTTGTTTTAATTTTGTCACATGACCTGTGAAAACAGCAAACTTTTAGGAGGTATGTGCTTTTTTTCTGTTTTATATGCTTTCATTTATTTTTGGTCTTTCTTTATTCTGTTCTTCATTTTTTTTTTTTTTTTTGCTACAGGTGGAATAGAAAGTATGTCAATTACAGAAATCTTTGGAGGTAATACTATATTATATTATCAAAGCCATAAACAACTCTTTCAATATTTATAAATTAATAAAAACGTTTCTTTTATTTTTGTTATAGAATTTAGAACAGGAAAGACACAGCTTTCACACACCCTTTGCGGTAAGTGCGACTTCAGGTCAAAACGATTGGTTTTTAGCCTTGTTTGTTATAAGATTCCTTGATTTTTTCGCAGTCACAGCTCAACTCCCTGGACCAGGAGGCTATACTGGTGGTAAAGTGATATTCATTGATACAGAAGTAAGTAATTTTTTTCATTTAAGCAATAAAAATCAGTCTAAACTATATACTAAAATCATTTCTCTTTTCTTTTTTCTGTTTATTTTCAGAATACATTGTATCCTTTTAAAAGACCATATTTTCATATCTATTTATACGTATACAAATAACTATGTAATTTTAAAAGATCGATGAGTATAAGAGGCTAGCGCTGTCGTTTCTTTTTACTAGTTTTATATTTTATACATTATCGTATTTCTTAACAATTATTCAAGCCGTCCAGATCGTTTGCGTGATATAGCCGATAGATTCAATCTGGACCAGAATGCAATGTTGGACAATGTTCTTTACTGCCGAGCATATACAAGTTAGTAACGGTCTAAGTTGCGTTTATGAATAATAAGGAATCGGGGAGTATTTTGATTGTTAAACGGAAAGCCTTATCTCTAACAGGTGAACACCAATCTGAGCTTCTAGATAGTGTTGCTGCTAAGTTTCACGAAGAAATAGGAGTCTTCAAACTTCTGGTAAGTCTGGAGCAATAGAGGTTTAATTTTGCACCACCACGTCCATTAACAGCTTGAGCTGCCTGTGCTCATGATCAGATGGCAGAACAATAAAATCTCTCTGCTCTTGGGGATTGAATTATTTCTTATGATAAAAGATTGTATTGTTCCTGCCACCTAACATGGCTAACGTCACGTGGTGATGCAAATTAAACCTCTAAAACGATAGTTCATGTCAGGCTATGATGTTGGAGTATATATGACTGGGAAACTATATTTCCACATCGAAACAAATTCATTGATTCAAAGTTGGGACATTAAATGACAAAAATGAAAAGAACTTTCAAGCTCAGTTCCATAAGGCAAAGAAAAGGGTCCCAGCTATCATAACTTTTTGTTTATTCTTATTTCTTATTTGCAGATTATAGACTCTATGATGGCGCTGTTCAGGGTTGACTTCTCTGGTAGAGGAGAACTAGCAGATAGGCAACAGAAGCTTGCGCAAATGCTTTCAAAGCTACAGAAACTTTCTGAAGGTCAGTATACTGTATCTGGACTTCTGGCCATGAAAAATATTGATAAAACTTTTAGCTATAATGTTGCGCAGGACAGGAATGACTGATACTAAATTACTTACTACCTTATTATCATCCTACAGAGTTTAATGTGGCTGTGTTTATTACGAACCAGGTTAGTCTACTTAATTTTAACAAAATCACTACGTCACTTACTACCTTACCTAGAGGGTCTGAATCAGGGACTGTGAGAGTTCATTCCCCCACCACCACCACCACCCCAATCCCCACCCCCTACTATCTTACTACCACACCACCAAATAATTCAAAACGGTTACAACAAGATATGTCCTGATCATAATATAAGAATCAGTTTTGTCCGACATTCTTTAGACTTATTGTTCCTCTTCTCTGTCCATTTTTTTAACCTTGACTTTTGCATCAAAAAGATGACAGCTGATCCTGGAGGTAAGTTTCAAATTTAATTTAATAAAAGATTATATGTTGTCGTTACTTTATATTTAACTAGATTTGTACCTTTTTAGCAGCATAACTAACAGTTTATTTATTTTTTCTCTTTTTCCCCTTTACGTCATGTTACGAATAGCAACCATGAGGTAATTCAAAAACATTAAATTAACTTTATCTGCAAGTGATATGCTACATAGGGTTACGTTTTCTCTTCATTCATCCAACGCGGCGTTTGTTTACCATTGGGGAACACTTCCCACTGATCTCAACAAGTTATCCCTCCCTCCATCCTCTCATCCTCCAAAAACATATGCACAAAACTGAACTGCAAATGAGAAGGGGGTCACAGACACTCTTGGACTCCGTAGTAACACCCCATTGCATATGCCTATCCTTAACACGTGCGTACGTTTCGTCTTAAATCAGTTTCCAAGCCGATCCTAAGAAGCCTATTGGTGGTCATATTCTAGCTCATGCATCTACAACACGAATAAGTTTAAGAAAAGGAAGAGGAGAGAACAGGATCGCAAAGATCTATGACAGGTATGAAACGACTAATAATATACTAATAATACTTATGCCCTTGACTGCAGACGAACTTAAACGAAGCGCTTGGGCAGACAACAACCGCACTTGAACATTTGTGGGGAAATAAAGACTTTTTCAAGCTATACGATCATACAAACCGGAGAACACCTTTTTTGGATTTGTAAATTATATGAAAAAGTAGAAAAAAGTAACCTCAAA